AGCACCGATGAGGATTGCTGTATGCCTCTCTTCTGCTCGCAATATGAGACCAAGGCACGCCGCCGTGCACAGTTTGTTCAACAATCGCATGGGATTGAGAGGAGGCATCAACAGGCAGCTCAAGAGCTGCTCGATTTCGTTTTCTCCACACTGCCTGGTATGCAGGACTTGCACAAAGGGTCGCTTTCTCATTCTCGAGCTTGGTCCGCACGGGGTACCCCGTGGATCCCTTTCAATGACCCCAAGAACAGCAGATGTGTGACTTGACTTGTTGTCCAGGTCGTGATTGACCAATCACCCCCAATTTTACAGCCCTTTGGGTGCCGTTTTGATACATTAAGAGGATCATTAGAGGATCAGCTGTTCGCTCGATCTGCGCTCCCACGTCGCATCCAGTTGCCCACGAAGTGGAAACGAAAGCCCTCAGCTTTGCTGGGATCCACCGACGCGGAGTGCTACGCCACTCGGAGTGTGTCCTCGGGAAAGACCGGACCGGACCGGCAGAGATGGAGAGGCAGGAGACATGGGGCGGTGATTCAAACTGCAACAACTATGACAAATAAGCATAAATAAGCTGCAAAAGCCACCAGATTTGCACAAGCACCGCAATGTCCCAGATGTCACATGTTCTCTTATGTTCTAAGCAGCTGATTAGATGAAAGCATGCTTTCCTGGAAAAAAAGGGCTCCTTTGATCACATGTACCGCCAATGGACGCCAGCTTTGCGCATTGGCCCCATGGCCCCACCAGAGTTCATCACAGCCGACAAGAAATACCGTCCCTCGGCGAATCGCCACGAAAACCGGTCCCACGTCGGCCGTTGGGGAAAGCATTCGGCCACGTCCAAGGAGCCTGTGTGGTGTGCTGATTTCGATGGTGTGGCTGCCAAGGGAGGGGGAAGAACGAGGACATCGAACGAGACGCTCGATCGTCTCATGGTCTCCCGCCGACAGCGACAAACGTTCATAAACTGCTCATGTGACAACGACGACAGGAGTCCCCCCAAAAATAACGATGTTGGATTGTTCACGTGCAAGAGTCATATTCAAAATCACAGGATATGAGATGGTATGAGAGGCATTGACAGTGCAGCGGCTTTCCATTTTCACACGAAGGGCCTCAACACCGAGGCTGTGGCGGCGAAGGGCTCATCGAAGATGCCAAACACAAGCAGGGCTCGACTGCCCCCGAGTGCTGTCAGGTGCGGTCAATCTCAGTGCAACGCAGGTGACGAAGGTGCAGGTCTTGGAAGTATCAGCACGACCATAGCCACGCAGGTTGACACAATAAATGAACATGAGATGAACATGATGATCTTGGAAGTGAAATGAGTGAATGATTGACTTGTTCACTACTACATACGAGAGGAGGACCTTTGTTCCAACATCTAGAAGCGTGCAAGCTGTTTTGGAGGCGGTGGAGGAGAAGGCGGTGGAGAAGACCAAGTGAAGCTGAGTTCGCTATATAACGGGCTCTTGGTTTCACCGACGTCAACGGCGGCAAAGGCCACCCTTGTAGTCAAAGAAGGCCGGTGTGTTCGACGTGGTTGTTCTTGTTCCTCATATTGAACACTTCTCAAGGTTTGCTGCACTCAACTGGCATGCCGATGTGATTTCATGAAGCTGGCATGTGCTTAATTCAGCATCAGCCTGTTTCAGCCGTCAAACACTGACAAACACCTCTGGGCCTCGCGAGACGTGACAGGCCAACAAGTTTTTGCCGTCGTATTCGGTCGCAGTCACTTCACTGTAGCTCCAGCCGTTGCCGCAAAGTGATGGCCTCCAACCTACTGTAATAGCTTCTTCCAGTAGTAAGTCCAGGAGCTACTAGTAACGTCCTTGCTCCTATAGCAGTGATGCCCTTTGCTCCGTTCGTAGCTTACATTGCTCCTCAGCGCTTTGATCTCACGTCCGTTGCTTCGATCTCCGAGGTGCTCTGAGCTCTCTTTTTTCTCCCGTCGACATGAGTGGAGCTTGGCGGATTCATCGTCACAGTCGTGGCTGTGCAGAGAAAACCCTTGTGCAGTCGGTCTCCTTCAACCGGATGTTGCGATTGACGCACCGAATTCGATGGTCACGGCCGGCAGCGCGAAGAACCGAAGAAGCCGAATCCGAAGCACCTGAGGCTTCATAACGACATGTTTTGCAATGAGAGGCTTCATTCCCACTTCCGGCCGAACCAATGCAGTGCCATGCAGTACCGCCAAAGGCGGCTGCTCAAATCTTTGGGCTATGGCGCCATCCAGAGGGCATTGTTGCAATGTCTACGATTCACGGTGATCATTCACGGTGATGCTTATATAAATGGATGGTTTTCCTTACAGTGGTCCCACTTCACCTTAGGTGATTGTCCTCCGCTATGAGTGGTGCGCCCAAGCTTAGAATGCAACCGGAACCTCGGGCACAATGTTTTTGGAAGGAAACTAACTGCAGCTATTCTGGTACAGGTCGATGCTGTCGATGCTCCTTGAAATCCTTGTTCAAAGATGTGCATGCTTTTACAGTAGCAACCAAGGCAAAGCATGGGTCACCACCGCAGGAATCTTGAAGCTTGCTCAGCCAAGCCGAGCATCAGCTTCAACAAAGCAAGCCGGCATCATCTTCAAATAATGCAGTGCTGCAGGGATTCCAGGCTTGTGCATGCGTGTACCGAACATACCCCCCCTTTGCCTCCAGAATTCATAAGGAAAGCACTTGGAAGCTTGACACTTTGTCACATCCGCAGCTGTTCAGCACCACAACCTGATCCCATTTCTCCGCCCATGGCTGAGCTGGTCGAAGGACTTCTGCCGGCCTTGCTGACCGTGCGCGTGCGGAAGGCCTCGGGGGAGTTGCTGGAACTGCCGATGGGCTCGGGGGACACGGTCAAGGACCTCAAGGCGAAGTTGGCCGAGCTCCGGAAGAGCACGCGGAATCGGCATCGAGTGATCTTCGAAGACAAGGACCCTGGCCTGGTCAAACGGTGGGACGAGGATCAAAGACGGAGGATATTTTTTGCGAGTATTTGAAACCACGCCGCCAAGCCTCCAGTAGTCTGGTGTTGTCATGTGTGAAGTATTTTTGGTCTCAACGGAATCTTTCAAATCAGGGTGCTTGGATGATTGCATGCTGTATGCCATCGTTCATGGGGAGGAAAAGGACTCGCCGTGGTTTCCTGCGAAGGCCGCCATGATCGATTCCACCACATGGCCATGTGAAACTTACGTAGTAGGCCTCTGAAATGATTCCGGGAAAGGGTAAGAGTCAGCCGAATTCGGCTGCCGCTTAACATGGTCGACAGCTTCGGTCGAACCAGCTCCCGCTCCGGTCACCACTGTTAGACTTTCATCTTCGTGTCCAGGAGCTGGAGTCGACGTGCCATGGTCTTTGTGTCAAAGAAGTTTTCCTGTCAAACCACGGGAGACGTTCGTTTTGAGACGAGACGGAACACGTCACGTTTCGACCATCCTTTCACCTGCAGCGCTTCTTTTTGTGGAAGGTTTTCACTGGCAGATTGTGGTGAAGCTGAGTTGCTGTGGATTGAATCGCCAGATATTCTGAAAGTCGAAGGTATCCCGGACGACACGGGTGCTAGCTGGTTGAACGGAGACTATGAGCGGGTGCCTGGTCGTTTCAGAAACGAAACAAGACAAATTTCACGGGGAAGTGGGATGCAAACGGGAGGGCTTCCTTTACGAACTAGTTGTGTGTTTCTTCCTGTGCAAACATCCCAGACGCCCAGGCCTACCTTCCTCACCAAAAACATTCCAAAAAACCATTCGGCCAGAGGACTGCAGTCCAATTGGGTGGGTTTGGGTAGAAGCTCACAAGGACGCTACTAGGGGCTCCTGGCCTTACTACTAGTAACAAGAAGCTACCAGTAACAAAGGGCATCGCTACCAGGAGCAAGGACGCAACGAACGGGGCGCTCCAATTTTGTGCGAAGGAACCCAAAGCTCACTGATTCCCCAAAGGTGGATGATGCTGAGCTTCGCGGCTGCGCCATTTGGAAGTCACAACATGAGCGCCAGCCATACTTGTAGCTCGGCTTCGACCAAGCTTTTTCCATCTTGTTTTCTTTCTTTTTAACCATTTTCAAGCTATGAACGGCTCGACTCGACGCGTTTGACATGTGTGCGCGTGTTTGAGGTACAAGCATGCGAGCGATGACGTGTTGAATTTGGGCCCTTCGGCCTCGGGCGACCTTCCATCCCCATCAGACCCGCCGAACTTTCGGCAAGGCTTTGCGTCAGGAACACCTCCACCTGAGACGGACCGTACCCATGCAGTGGGGCGCTCGGGCGTTTCTGAATTTTCAGGCTAGTTTTGGGGCCGAGACTCAAACTCAAGAACAGTCTGGTTCAAGTCCTCAAGTCCTCATCTTTGGCGATGCTCCTTGACGGCGGTCGCCCAAGTTCCCTGCGGTTGATCGGTTTTCATTCCGATGAGGCCGCCACTATCGGTTGGAGGGGCCATCGCTCTGAGGCCATCGCTATTAGGTTATATAATGCTCTAAAGGAACAACATAGATGTTTTTCCTTGATCGATGATATCCAAAGGTCCTTTTAGCCTCAGATCCTTGCCAGGACCAAGCTTGGGAGGGCGATGCTCAAATCCAACAGCAGACCTTTTATCGGTTGGATTTTCGCCACCGTTTGTTTTTACATTTGTAATTTTAGGGCTGGTTTGGGGTTCAGTGTTTGGTGAAAAACGTCAACTCTCATTTGCATGTAAGGCGGTCTATTTGTGGCTTAAGGCCTGCGAGTCCTTCCCCGACCAACCGCATGGTGGAGCGCATGTGGTCGCGGGCTCTGTGCGCCGGAGCAGCTGAGAGAGCAGCGAAGGAGAAAAAAGGTAAGCACAGCACATGGTGCCGTCGGGAAAACAGACCATCATCCAGCACCCACCACTCTCCAGGTAACCACTTCTTGCCTGAAAAGTGCTTTTGAACACTTATTGGGAGGTTTGCGACGTTAACGAACCATCCCATGATTACAAACCCTCAAGCTGCTTCAGCTGCAGGCGGCTTTGCTCTCCAAGACGGTGCCTGCTTGTTACCGGGACCCGGTCCTGGTGATCTTGGAGGCAAATTTGGGTCACAGGAAAGGCGTTCTGCAGAAAAGACAAGGCGGCTTTCAACAGGTTCAAGATGCTTTCAACGCCTTCAAACCATCACTTGTATCTATATATCTCCCTCTCGGAGAAAAACACACATCAAATATTACAAAATAGAACGCCCCACATTTTTACGGCAAACATCCCGAAAAAGCAATCACCCAAAAGACGCTTGCTTCCACTTCGCAGGGGGACCGCCTGGCGCCCGTGAAGTATGCTCGCAAAATCCCAGGCGCCTGGCCCGCATCCGTCGCCACCGGGCGCACCGTCGGTCACCGGTCTGCATCGCAGGTCTCACCACTGGCATTGAGATGATGCCAATGGAAGGCGGGGTATTTGCTTTAGGGCCTTAGTCAGCTAGCTTTGTAGCAGGTGCTTTGTTTATGGGTTCGGATGGTATCGTACATTTTCAGTGTATGTGCCCAGTTCTGAGGTTTGTTCTTTTACTTGCGGTTGGAACTCTTCTCCCCTGACGTTTCTGTTGTGTTCCCCTCTTTTCAGTGAAGGCTCTTCAGCTGATACCTTGGCGGAAGAGGTTGCAAGCTCAGCTGTTGCAAGTTTGTGCTTGTTTTGGTGAGAAAAAAACCTTCTGATTTTATTGCATTTTGCGCCTGCTCCATGGTCCTGACAAAGCTGACATCTCCATCCATGGTCGATCGTGTTCAGCCAACTCTGGCTTGCCGGTCATGTCAATTAATATCATGAGTTATCCTAACACATGCGTTCTACGAGCTCTGGCCAAAGGAGAGACTAGTTCGTGTTGCCAATGGTGTCCCTTTGTGGCCGGTGTAGAAGCAAACACCGCGTGATTGCCCGTTCTTGAATTGGTGCCTCAGGTGTGTGAGGACAGATGAATCACATGCGCCGAAAAGAATGCTCAGTAAAGTCTTGCTCATGTGCACTTGGCACGCGCAGGCATTTTAGTCTTATAAGCCTATCCAAGCCGATGCTTGTTTACTACACGCTCTCATGATTTGGAGAGCAGTGAAACCACGGTGTACTAGTGACTACAGCATAGACACGTAGTCAACGGTGATCGCTCTTTACCCGGCTCTTGCAGTTTGCTTGCCTCACGAGCTGAAGATGTGCCTTGCCCAAGCCAGATGGCTCGAGCCGTGGGTCCATGTAAAGAAAGCATGGGACATCGGTACATCCTTTTGGGTCGATGCTTTACAGAATCTATTTGATTCTACGCTAGTAGGTTGGAGGCCATTTCCTTTGCAGCGCTTTTCGCTATGGGAACAAAGCCTGCTCTGACGGTCTCATTATTCTTTGCGCGATGGCAGTAAGCCTTGCTCCACAGTCGAAGCTTCAACTTGACGAAGCAGGAGCTGCTCGTAAGATAGACACCTGAAACTTGCCGTTTCATTTCGCACTATTGATGAGACGTCTGACCTCTGACCGCGAAAGCGCTCCAGGCTGGCAGCTGCTTTCGAACGATCTACAGTTGAGCGGCAGGACTTTAGAGGCCAGTGCCGCTTCGGCGCCAGAGCTGGATCCTGATTCACTTCTGTCTTGCAGGTCTATCGTACACAAGAAGGGTCCAAAGAACTCCTTGCAGAGAAACTGGATTTGCGAGCAGCTGAAGTTGAGAAACAGGAGGCAAGGTCTCAGCCCGTTGGAACTGGAATTGATTCAACACACTGTAGACCAATTGTAGGCGATAGGAGCAAGGACGCTACTAGTAACAAAGGGCATCGCTACTAGGAACAAGGACGCTACTAGGGGCTCCTGGCCTTACAGTTCCGTCTCGGGGTCATGGGACATGTGGGACATGCAAAGAATACCGCCATGTCAAAGAAAGCGGAAGAGAGGAAGAGAGGGAGAGGCCAAGAAGCAAAGCAATAAGGAATCAAGGATACCAGTGATTTCTTCACTTGTTTTGTTTGTGTGTTCTTGTTTGTTTGATGCTGTCGTTGGCTTGTGTTGCGTTAGTCCATTAGTCCTGAGTTCATGTGAGTCCTACCAGGCCATTCACCCATATTCACCGATATTCACAGCTGTACCTTTTCGGTGGACCGACACGACATGTCATGCGGTGTTCGATTATGTGATTGAGGCGATAATGAGGCGTTTCATGTTTTTTTTCTTTTTTAGATTGTTTTTTACGATTCCATGTGTTTTTCTTTCCTTTCTGTTTAAGCTCTATGTCTTTCCCCCAGCCATCTTTTTGAAAGAAGGACCATAGGGACATTGGGCACCGAAACACGAGAAGAACCGAAGGACGGAGCGCGTTCCAAGTCGAAAGAACACGACCGTCTCAGTCCCTTCGGACCTTCGGAGGTGGAGTCGGCTCGTGTTCCGTTCGTTTTTGGCCACCTGGCGCGGCACTCGGTTCGCGTTGGTTTGTCAGGTTGAGGTGTTTGGCCTCGGCACTTGGCCTGGGTACCTGCTGAAGGGCGACAAGTACCGCTTGCGCTGGGCCTTGAAGAACGAGGCTGCCCTGCTGCAGGTCGAGGCACGATGACACACGGCGACGGGGTAGACGATGTGTTGTTCCTGAGGTGTTTAATTTCTGTTTGGATTCGGATTTCCATTTCTTTTTGTTGTCCTTTTGTTTGGAGGTAGGGCCTAGTAGGGGCTGCCGGAACAACAACCCTTGGTGCCAGGTGGACGAGTGCGTGGAGCATTTCTGTACCTTGGTTTTGGATCGCACAGCCTCTGAAAACACAGAAAACATCAAACATCCTCAGCAAGTTGGTTGATAGCATGCTGGTCAACATCCACTTTCCTAATGATTATCACGTGGTCGGTCGGTCTTGTATGGACAGTCATGATGGCTTTCTATCACCAACCTTCCTACGTGAAAGACGCCCGTCGCAGGCCCCTCTCAAACATGGCCCCTCTCAACGATCCCCTCAACCCGAGGTCTCCCCTTTGAAGTGGAGAAGTCTCAGGACCGGAGACCAAGGGAACGGCCCAGCAAGTGAGCGACACCAAGTAATTCTTCATGAACACATCTCAAGCAGGGACTATGTGATAGAACCCCCTCCAAATTCTTTGAGGAGCCCGTTGGACCAGGTGGTTCAGTTTTGGAAGATTCTGAAATTGCCGAACAAAAACGAAAGCCGCATATCCTTGCTGCTAGTAGCTTCTTGCTGCTAGTAATGGCCTCCAACCTAGTAATTAGCTTCTTGTTACTAGTAGCTACTTGCTCCTAGTAGTACAGCCAGGAGCCCCTAGTAGCGTTCTTGCTCCTAGTAGCGATGCGCTTTGCTTCTAGTAGCGATGGCCTTGCTACTAGTAGTATGGATTGAGGAAACTCCAGGAGTGACTCCTTGTTGCGCATACGTCGACAGGAGTGGCCGCCGTCAGGGGCTCAGGAAGCAGCGAATCCGTGAGACGGCCTCGGGCCTTCCGCCTTCGGCAAAAGAAGAAGTGGTGTGAAAAGGGGTTGTGAACATTCAGAAATACTGATTCTGTAGAGGATCATGGAAGAGTGTCTCCAACTTCCGAAAATTATTGAATCAGAATGCTCCAACTTCGAATTTTGTTCCGCTCAACGCCTTCGGGGAGGGTTTGTTCTTAATGCCGCGGGGGGCTGTTGCGATCAGTAACAGGACGCGTGTTCACCGTTCACCCAATTAAGCGACAACCCCTGGGAGAAGCACCAGCCAGGCACAGCGGCACAGCCACACATAAAAAGAGCCTTCTCTGGAAAACAAGACACGACGATACACGACGTCAATCACCGACGTCCGGTCTCAGGCACTCTTCCGGCAACCGCTGCGAGAGTGCTTGTTGGGAGCGGCATGTGAAGCGATCGCCAACGCACTCGTCCATGCTGGTGGGGGAACCCTGGAATCGGATGGGTTTGGAAGGGTTTCTTCGCTAGCAGGTTGGAGGCCATCGCTAGTAGGTTGGATGGTTTTCTGGATGGGTTTCTTCGCATGTTTGCACCATAGTTGCCCATTCTCATCAGTGGCTAGGTCTATCCCTGGTGATGTATCAGCAGACTGATGGGATCTGGGTGTAGAGCTGGCAACTCGATCTGGACAGGTAAATGGCTGGCAAAGCTTCGGATTTAGTGGCTCAGCTGTGTTTGCAGGTGGGTTTGGTGTTTGATGCAGCAAGGCCAGGTTTGGGTTTGGCTGGTTTCAAGAATCTCAGCGAATTTGCAGGATGCTTAAGCCCTAAGTGTTTGGGTGTATTGAACCATATTGAACCTCATTTCAGATTCTGTGTTTTCTTTTGATGTGGCTAAAGCATTTGGACCTTGGAAGATTGCTAGTCCAGATCTGGACTTCAAGGGCGTTTGACAGGCTGTTGCAAGAGGCTGTGCAGAATGCTTTAATTCAATCTCGTTGGCTGAGTTTGTCCCGTGTTTTTCTTTTTTTTTCACCATGTCGTCAGGTGCTTTGCGAAACTCAAGTTTCCTAGGTGGGTGACGCATGTTTCCATGCTTGGAAGGTTGGAGGCCGAACGTAAGTTGGAGGCCGTTTGATCCGAAAGCGCGAAAGCGCGATTCGCTGCACGACTTTAGAACAGGTCGCTCAACGCAGCTTTTCTACGACAGCAGCAAAGTATTACATGCCTAGCTTTCGCTCTCTTCAGGGCTTTGCAGCCGCAAATGCTGCGGTGTTCAATCACATGCCTAGGCATCGCGCATTCAATAGGCAAGTGCAAACTGGACATGATTTTTTTTGTTCATGCCCAGGTGGAGTGCTGCACGGAGCGGTACCACAACCAAAGACCTCGATGCCCTTCTTCTCAAGTGCCTTCCACAGTGGCGCGGCATTGCCTCCAGGAGCTCCGGTTCGACAGAGGGCTAAAGCTCTAACTATTATTTCTTTGTTGTGTCGGAGAGAGCAGAGAAGGTGAGTCTTAAACCCTCCCCAAGACTCAGGACCCATATCATTTTATTTTCCGCAGATGGCCTTTGGCAGGATCTTCCCTCGCATGCGATCGAGAGGTTCTGGTCAGTGATTTGTATCTTGGTGGCAGCCGGTGACACCAAAGTGCACTCGGATTCTTCTGTGGCGTATGTGCGTTGAGGTACGGCTACCTCTTCTTGCACCAGAATGGCTGTGATGCACAGAATGGTGGCGTGTTGGCTGGTCATTTGGTGTTGCATTTGCAGAGGGGCATCCGGGTCTTGTTGGAACTTGGAAGCGTGGAAAGCCAAGTCGCATATAGGCACTCCTGCCGGAGAGAGAACATTTGAGTCTTGGAGATGGAAGATGAATAGGAAACACACAGAGCATTGTAGATACGTGCTGTTTGAGGAACTGAGATGACTTGGCGATCTTGCCTGGCACGCTTTGGTGGGTGAAATGGATTTAAATTTGCTTTGGATTTGCTTTGGTGCCTCGCCCGAGGTTTCCTGAGTCAAACTGCGGGATTTGGAGGTTTGGCCGTGTTTCGGCTGCAAAATGCGAGGCAAAAACCCAATGACTTCAGCAGGCCCACCGCATTTGCCAGATCTCAGATTCCCAGACTGTTTGGATGGAGAGCAACCACGTAGAGGCAGTAGAGTCTGGAACCTGGTCAAGGTGGCCTCAAGCGAAAGTCCGCTCTTGGCGCTCTTCAGCGAACTGCAAGGTGAAGGGCGGCCAAGGCGCTAACAGGGAAAGTGTCGTAAGCTTTCCTCATCAAAATGCGCAGAGGAATGGATTTAAGTTCACACGCAAATCAGCTCATTATATAATTCCATGATATTCCATGAGCATTCCTTCCAAGGATGCTCGCCACATGTTGGAGGCTGGTGAGGAAAGTAAGCACCTAACTACTAACAAGGAAGGGATTCTCCAGCGTTTCTTCCCATGGATGATGCCAATTCCTTTTCGGTTCTTGTATGTTCTTGCGGTTCAAGACCGCCAGCCCGTGCAGGGTCTGCTGCCCTGTGCATGCATTTGCCCTTGCTGTTTCGTCTTGCGCAATCAAATGGCATCAAATTAGACTAAGCCGCCTGGTCTCCGACTGCAGGGTCTCCGACTGGTGCTATATTTGCACCAGTGGTGGAGGTGTTGCGTATGACCGAGTAGTCCAAACCTATTTGGAGACGTTTCTTGGCCCAAGTTTTGGCTTCGGCTTGAGACGTCCTTTAGGCAGGCACAACTGCACCGCAGTGCAGAGTCCGCAAATGTCCGCAATCTGCGCTGCGTTCGACGGCCCAGGGTTTCTGTGGTTCGTTCCCCAACTGAGTTATTCTGTAGATTCTTTGGGGTGAATGGATCCGATGAAGAGCGATGCGAACGGACACACCAAGCGAGGAACCGAAGTGCCTTTATTGTCGAAATGGATCGCATGGCCCATGGCCCCAAGGGCCACCATGTTCCGAATATCAAAGAGGTGGTGCCATTCACTTCCAATGAACATGTTTGATGATATTCAGACGAAATTGGGTGCTTTTGAGCGAGGCTAGCGAAGCATCATGGGATGCTGAAACCCAAGCGACAGCCAGTAGGCAGGATGGTCGGCACGTTGGCACGTTGTAACATTCTATTCATTGTGGCTTCGAATCGAATTTCATTTGAATTTAAGCAGCAAGAAGCTACTAGTAGCTCCTGGCATTACTACTACTGGTAGGAACAAGAAGCTACTAGGTGGAGGCCATCGCTAGTAGGTTGGAGGCCATTACTACTAGGAACAAGAAGCTACGAACATAGCGATGCCCACGACTTGGTCGAACTGTTTCGGAGGAACTTCGGTAGAATGCTCGATGTGCTCAGGTTGGTGTTCTTGGTATTGCCATGGGCCTTTTGTGGATGAGCTCTTGATGATGAATCTTAGCTCTTTTGAGGAGGGGTAGGCCGGTACATAGCAGAGGGAGCTAGCAAGAGGTAGGTAGCTAGCTAGCAAGTACTAGCAAGTACTAGGTACTAGCTTGCTAGAGGTAGGTAGCTAGCAAGTACTCACAGTGGATGATAAGAAGAGGTGTGGGAGGTGGGCGTCAAGCGGAATTTGTCCAAAACAAACTTCGCAAATGGCACACGTTGCAGAATTTCTCTTGACCCATCCACCTTTTCTCTACCTTTCTGGACTATAATGAATTCGCTGAGATTTGTTCGATTATCTAGTTCTCTTCCACACAACTTAGTGCTGTAGTTCACATGATCAGGAAGGACTCGAAGCACTCGAAGCATTGAACTGCCTTCGCTTTGTTCACTTCATTCACCTTTTTCTTTTTTAAGGCAATCCTTAAAGGAGTTGAAGTCGATGGGCTTGGACAGTGGTGGCCCAGCCGAAGTGTTGAGTGCTGAGCATTGCTGAGTGCTTGCTTCATGCTTCTGCAGATGGCGTCATGCGCTCTTTGTATCTCTTTGTTCTTTGTTCCAGCACTTGTGGAAGCTTGCAGGAGTGTTTCTCCAGACTTAAAAGGATTTCATCATGCCTCTTATTTGGGGCCGGCTGCGTGGCCAAGCCTTGACCACCAGGGCGGCCCCCATAGACAGCTTTTGGCTGATGAGATGATTCTTTCGTCGGGATGATGTCCGCCTCAGGCGAGCTGTCCTTGGATCTTTTTCAGCTGGATGATGGCTGGCAAAGCGCTTGGGGAGATTGGTTACGACCCAATGCAAAGTTCCCGAGCCTTGGTTACAACACAATCGAAGTGCATGCGCCGAGTCAAAAACAGCGACATGGAGCGACGAAGCTCTATAAAGGACATGGGCCTGCTTTATTCTTTTCTGGGTTTGACGTTTTGGAAAGCAATGCAGAGTTGCTCATGTTGCTGGGGAGTTGGCTGAGTACATCCCCAAAAATTTGTCTCCAAGCTTTCCACGGCTTCCACTCTGTCTGCATTAGGCTGCTGCTAGTACTTGTAATTACTGTATGCTAGTAACAAGGCCATCGCTACTAGTAACAAGTGCATTACTACACATTACTACTAGTGACAAGAATCACTAGTAGGTTTGAGGCCATTACTTTCAGTAACAAGAAGCTACGAACGTAGGCACATGGTTCGAGGATCTTGGAAGAAGCATGAAGCCTACTGAGCCGTGAATACCATACCTCCGACCTCGAGGTTTCGATGGACTTCCTATCACAAGTAAACTAGCCCAAGGTGAAAAAGACACCAGAGCTGGATCCAACAAAGTTGACGGTTGAACACCTTTATCATGGTTGTTTTTTGTTTATGTCCCAAGTAAAAACATGACTCCATGTAGAGCCTGGAAGGCGATTGTCATGAGTTTTGCGTGGAGAACATCCGACAAGCGATCTCGCAGGAATGGCTTGAAGCCCTTGACCGACGCAGTGAAAAAGGATGGTTTGGTGCCCGGCATTTGGTTGGCACCGGCATCCTTAACCTTGGGCTCTCGCTTGGCACAGGAGAGGTGATACAGAGGTAGGGTGTGGCGTGACTAGCAAGGTCTCTTGCTTTGCAGGGGTAGCTGTAAGTCTTTAAGTGTCACAGGAACTTTGGAGGGAAACAGAGGTTCAGAGAGGTGTCAGATCGACTACCCTTCAGGGCTGTCCTTTAGTATTGTGGCTTGGAGGTCAAGTACCGGTACTAGTACGAGCAAGGCCATTTCGAGGGACAAAGTAACTTCTGGAGCTGCGGAGGGGAACTTAGTTCAAAGTCGTTTAAGCAAACTTGTGTGTAGGGATGTAACAAGAAGTTATTAGAAACAAGTGCATCGCTACTAGTAACAAGTGCCTTACTAGTGGTAAAAAGAAGCTACTAGAAACAAGTGCATCGCTATTAGGATGTTTGCTTAAACGACTAGTGTCCGAAGCAAGAGTGGATCCTTCAGGAGCATCCAGAGTGGATCCTTCGGGATGAAACCGGGCGACACGTCTCTTGTGGCTTCACAGCACCAGGGTTGCTCGGAGCAAGTGATCCTAGTTGGCTCGATCTCATTGCATTTCGAACAGGCCAACAAAGTGAAGCTAAGGGACTTGTGTGGGTAAACTATCATCCCTCAAATTAGGTTGGAGGCCATGGCCATAGCTACTAGGTTGGAGGCTTCGCTACTAGTGTCCATAGAGGCATTTGGCTCTGACACCACAATGCCAGGCTTTGGATGCGCGCCTTGGACACCACGATGCCAGAGGTCCTAGCGACTCGTCAAACCTTCACACCGGCCCTTACCAAAGGGATGGCTGAAGGATGCTGAAGGTCTCTACTAGAAAACAAGAAAATCTATATGCTTGCCACATCGTACCTCCATTTCCAGGTGTTTCAAACGATTTCGTTCCACGACTGAACAAAAATCCTTGACTGTCGAACCATGAAGTTTTCGGACCTTCCTGTTCTGGTGTATGACTTTGGTCTTTTTGTAGCTTGGAAGCGCTCTCAGGAGCACATACGGAAGACCATTCACACCATCGTGCACGAATGGGGTTTTCGCTATTTGAAGCAACTGTGCTGCAATCAGTCTGGGGAAAAGTCCATCCTCATCGCTACTAGGAGCAAAGACGCTACTAGGGGATCCTGGCATCGCTACTAGGAGCAGGGACGCTACTAGTACCTCCCGCCCAACAGATCGATTTTGATCTCTTCTTTGTCAGAGCCGATCGGACCGGATCAAGGGAGCTCAGCTCTCGATCATCCGCTGGCGCCGCAAGAAAACTAATAGCCATAACCTCCAACCTAACAGCGATGGCCTCGAACCTAGAAGCCATGACCTCGAACCTAATAACAAGTTTGCTTCGCGTCGCTTCGCTTCGAGGTGCGATTTCCTCCATTGTGCCGCGATGCCTGGAAAGCGCTTTCTGAAGGTCAGCCGTGCCAAAGCGTGCCGGATGCTTCTAGAGGCAGTGCGGGAGGCCGCAGGAGAGGATGTCTTCGTTTTAGGCGCGGGGCATGAAATCTGCTTTGATTTGTTTCGTGTCCTTAAATTAGAATCTCAGCTCTAGACTTGCAAGCCTGTCCTGGCCATTTCTGTAGGTCGTGCAATTAAAATGCACGGTTGAGATGCATGCTTGTCATGATGGCTTGAATCAATTGGGCGTTGCAGTTTCAACATGCTGGCGATCAAAGAAAAAGCACACATTGCATTTCGCAAACAAACCCTGAGCTTGTGGTGCCCCACTGGGACCTTGCATTGGAGTGGCCGATGCAGTTCGCGTTTCCGCAGACACTGCGGAGCACTGGTTTCCGGTTGGGCCACTTTGAAGAACTCGGATTAGTGAGCAGTTCTCAAATTCCAGGGAGGTTTGTAACATCAGTGCATCCAATTCTTTGACTAGTCATTGATATTTTTGTGATTGCTGGAAGCAAGCCGTCAGTTTGCCAGTTGTGTATTTCCAGGGTCTTTATTCACCCACCGCTTGAGGCCAAACGTCTGGGGCACACGATGGCTTTTCAAGCAGGATCGCACCAATCTGCCTGCTGCCAGGCAGGGCCAACAAGACACCCAGACACACAAGATCACACAAGACACAAGCTTGGAGGCCATCGCTAGTAGGGTGGGAGGCCATCGCTAGTAGGGTGGAGGCCATCGCTCTTAGTTCTCGCCCCATTGAGACCCCACAGATTGGAGGCCTCGTTGAAAGGTGACACCTGGAGAGTTTCCAGTTGGACGGGTCGCCTCCAGGAATATGGTTTGCAGTACCCTCGCAAGGATGCACATGAACGGCCGGCTTTGGGTCAACGACCCGGATTGTTTGATTATACGAAAGGAGGCTGGTAGGGCGGGTGAGGGCTTGCCACACTTGTAAGTGTACAGGCGATTGCAAAGCCAAATACAGCCAAGCATTTCATGTAGACTTGCAAACCCAGATTTTCTCTCTGATTTGATATGTGTTCATCCTGAGCTGATTACAGTACTGAGCTGGAAGAACTTCCTCGGTCGGCCGTGTCGGTGGGTCGATCGGTGGGTTGATGACCTGCGCTAGGTGCCTCTGAGCGAAGCCCAGGCGCTCGCCTCGGTGGTGGCCTTCAGTGCTGGCTCGGTCATCTTCTCCGATGACCTGAAGTCGCTCCCGAAGGTACAGAAGACGACCGGGCACACAGCTCCACATAGCTCAACCCCTTTTTAAGGGCCCGGCCCGGGTTGAAACGGCGAGTTTTATGTTTTCGTTTGGAATCTGGAAGGCGTTGTGTTCAGAGAAAGGTTCAGAGGGGTCATGATTAGAAAGCCTTGTCTTTCTGGTCAGAAGTACTTAGGAGCCTGCCTTGGGGATACTCAGGCGAAGAACTAAGTGTTGAAGATTGTTGAAGTAGAATTGCTGTACCTGGGCCTCACTTGGTTGATTGACACTATATATAGCGTTCTCTTTAACGGCTTCTTGCAGGAACGCCTGGCAGTGTTGAAGGCCCTGCTTCCACCGGTGCAGCCAACTGCACAAGACGTCCATTTCACAGATGGAGAGATCCCTTGCAAGGCCGAGAGCAGGGACTGGGCAATGTGCATGCAATTGGGCATCCATGCGCTGTTGAAAGACTATCACCGTCACCGTTTGAACTGCTGCATCGATGTTGGGTTTTGGAGCTTTGGAACAGGTGAAAAAGCATTGTTTCGCCCAACCCATTCTGGCTTCATCTATTTCGCGGTGCTTTCTTTCGTTTGGGTCGTGGATTTCTTGGTGGATCCAAAGGTCACTGCGCATCTCACTGGAGCAGCGGGCGACTGGAGGCTTTGCGGGCTTTTTGCTTGGGACGGCGGCGAGGTGGAGCTGATGTTGGACGATCAGGTGGAGCTGATGGCGTCATCCTTCAACAAAAAGAATGAAAGTCTTCAAAGGATGTCAGCCATGGAGAATGGAAAAATCATTGACGTGCTGCGTTTAAATTAACGTGGGTCTAGTATGGATGTGGCCACGTGTCACTTCGCTGCGTTTTGTAGGAGTGGCACGTTTTTGAGTTTTGGAGCTGCAGCTACCAGCGACATCGAGGTGGAGGCGAGATCTGGGGAAGTATGAGGGGCCAGAGATCGGCGTCGACGACGTTAGAAGACGATTTGTTGTTTGCAGAGAGAAGGGCACTAAAGATCATTTTAAAGGCATCTAAAGGCAAAAGGATGCTAAAGGATGCTAAAGGTACGACGCAACGGAGATAGTGCCACCAAGACTTCGGACGAGATGTCCGTTTGTTGAACAAGCTGAAATCTGACGGGTCAGGCCTTTCCACCGGCCCGTTGCTGCCTCGAACGTGCCACCTCTATGCACTGCGGCCCGTCATGAGCAAGGCCCAATTCCTGGGCTCAAACATCCACGTGCCACAGCTGAAAGATGAGAGGCAAAAGGGGGGAGAAGTCAAGTCAAGGCGGATCAGATCTTTCAAATCTCAAGCATGAATTCTGGGTGCCAAGCACTGCATATCGATTACGGAATGTTGGAGTCTATAGAAGTCATATGATTTGATTTATTAATCTATAGTAATGTCTAAATAGCCATGAATAGAATAGTCATTGTGTTCTATTTCATGTGTGTTCCTTCCTTGCAGTGCTTTGTGACGCCATCCTGAAAACCACCCGTCATTTGTTCGTCATGGGATCCTTACACCAAGGTGTCCTGTGGACTTGAAGTCTGCGAATGGGAGGAGGCATCTCCGTCGGAGACCGGACGTCATTTTCCGCCGGAGGTCGAGCGTGAGGCTCGCGCGATGATTCAAAATTGGTCTCTGGAGGTGCTTCCATTTGGGGCGAGATGGGAGGATTTCACTGCGTCAGGAGTTCCTTTTGGTGTGGAGCCCAGTTGAAAGCCCTATATCGCTGTTTCAACCTAAAAGACTACCAAACCGTGAAAGATGCCTTCAGCCGAGCGAAGTGATCCACTCATCACAGGCTGAGCGATCCTTGCGCTTCACCTTGAACGTGAAAAGATCGTTGAACTCGCCCGAGGCAGGGCTCGGTGGGGCGATGGACTGGATCCCCACGTCGTGTTTGGGGTGCGTTGGTGGTCACATCACAAGCCCAAGAGTAGATTGGCTGAATGGCAGCGCTGACGCAGTCATTCACACAGTCTTCACAGAGTGTACATGTTGCAGTTTGATATCTGGCTCAAGGTTTAAATTGCAAAGACCGGAGGCTCAATTGTTCCAGTTCCTCTCACGGCATGCTGCGTGTGGTGAGCCTTTGTGGAGCTCTTTGCATTTTGGCCAGCATCCTTCAAGGTTGTGGCGATGAGGTCCCCGATCCAGCATGCTCCAGCTACAGCAAAGGCGGAGCTGGAGCTGTCACCGACGCAACGACCTGTGACACCGCTTGTGACAAGGGCGAGGGCATCCAGACCACGAACTACGGTGATCATGAGTTCTATGGCACCTCGGGCTCCGGAATGTGTGAATGTGTTGTAAACGACAGTGAGAGGCGCACGGCATGCAAGGATCCTGGCTATTCTGCCTGAGTTCCAGTGCATTTGATTTCGTTGTCAAGGCAGATGTTCTAAGACATTGACAAGGCCGAAAACCCAAAAGGGTCAACTGGGCCTGTACCAGAAATTCAGGACTACGAACTGAGAAGCCAAGATTGCAAAAAAGGGACGCCTGGAAAGCTGGCAGAAAGCATGTCATTTGGGCCTAGCAATTACAAATGGTGTCCAAAACAAGAATGCGGTACACAAGTCCGAGGCCCTTCGGTCTATCATGGTCTATCAGTCGTTTTGGAAGCCCCGTGTGGATGGCTGCCCAGCCCAGGTTTGGATCTTCCTGCCAAAGGCTTCACAGCCGCGGCTGGGTGGAAAGGAGGTGCAAAACTCTTCATTTTGTTTCTGGGAAAGTAGTGATAAGGAATTTCAAGAGGCCATCGCCATCGCCAAGTTAGGAGTTTCAATGGTAAAGTCTCACTAAGGAGTTTCGTTCAGTCGTTCGAGACTCAAGACCGCTCTGAAACCGCAAATCGCTTTCCTTCTCAACAGCATATCCTATTTTTGAGGAGCACACGAATGCCGCAGACCAGGTGTTGCATGATTTTTGCAGCCAGTGACTTCAACCTTGTGATTTTGTCTCATACAGATAGGAGCCTCCTGACAAAAAGAATGGTCTTTGCCATTTCATCTCAGTCCTTTTGTTCAGGCGGTGCCGGTACACGAGCAGGCACGCGATGTTTGCACATTTGTTCAAACTCATTAAGAAAGGTGCGGTGACCAACATGACGACTGACAGTTTTTTTGAAGTAGGTTGGAGGCCATTGCTTCTAGGTCAGAAGCCATCACTATTAGGTTGGAGCCCAACGCCATTCGTTTAGCACCAGGTTTGTCGCGCCATGTGCAAATGGACGTCCAATCTTCCAGGTTTGGCGCTTCGTGCTGGCGCCGGTGCCCCTAAAAGGGTCAACGCTCCAAATCGATTGGTGAAAGACGCCCATTCAGAAATCCAGCGCAGGGTGCCAGGGTTGCAGGCCTACGAACACAAGTTGCAGTACGGTATCAATGGCCCCCCGAACATGTGAATCAATGTGAAGGTTTGGACCTAAGCAGTTGGGGACAGACTCTCATTTTTAGACACGTCAACACATGTTCCCCACATGTTCCCCCTAAGTTGCTGTGTCAATGGAAGCTCAGCTGTTTCAAGATGATCCAAATTGTCAAGAACTGTTTCCCCACTCATTTGCAGGGTGCCAGCTCTGTTGCCCAAGAAACTTGCTTGTTCTTGTATGTTCTCGGAGGATCTTTGTTTTTTCTTCATACAACCGCACTACATACTACTCATGTGCAGATATTAAAAGGCTGCCGCACCGGCGCCCCAACCGCCACGGTGTGCGTGACAGTGCAGGGTGTTTGTGACAGCTGATGCTCAAGCTGACACGCTAAACCATTTGAACTAAAACGGTGACAAGTGACAACATGACTTTGCAAGCCAGTGGTGGAATGCAAGACTGGAAAACAAAAGCTAAAAGCAAAAGATTTCGAAAGTACATGCTTGTGTTTTTTGCGGCAGCCTTTGCGATGTGGACGTTGCCATGGAGGAAGAGGAGTTGGTGGAATTACTGCCGCCTGAGTTCACCAGAGGGGTTGTCCTAATGGACTTTCAATGTGCTGTTGTGCCAAAGGCGGACGATTCGATTGTTGAAGAAGCTACTAGTAGCTCCTGGCCGTACTGCTAGTAACAAGAAGCTACAAACGTAGCTCCTGGCATCGAAACGAACGGAGTGATCGGACGCTACGAACGCTCCGAGTGTCCGTCGTGTCGGTCGTGTTGGTGTCGTGAGGCCCTTTGCGGCGAGTTGCTGAAGCTCCTGGGCCCTCTGAGCGAAGACTTGAAGCACCTCAAGCGGGTGAGGTCGGTGAACACGACGGAGGTCGGTTCCTTCTTTTTCCGGGTGGCTCCACGTTCAATGGGTGCGTTTTTTGTTTGGGTGTCGCCCAACTGCACAGATCACATCCCGGAAATAGGATCCAAACCACCAAGGACGGGTGTCTTGTGTCACATCGCATTCGGCTGTTGAAGAGTCCGGGTGTCTTCCGAACGCATTCGGCTTTCTTGTGTTGTGAATTCGTGTGACCTATCAGGTAGATGCGACTCTAAGAATTGATTCAGAATGATTCATATATCATATTAGTAGAGAAAGAAACATCGAGAATGATCAGAAACGCTCCCGCGAAGTGATGAGAGGCCAGAAGGAACAGATTTGGCTGTGCTCCTGACAGAGACGCCTCGAGAAGATGTCTTGCAGTTCTTGCAAAACCGAGAGATTACGGCTGTACCTCGACCTCTCTGAAGATGGAAACGGCGGATGTGGAGGGTCCAAAGACAAGATGTTCAATAGACGACTTGCTTCTGTCTTGCAGCATGTTGCTCCATTCTGCAAAAGTCTTAGAAAATTGAATCTTGGGAAGCACACATGCTACGATTATCTGATTCAACAGATCGTTTTTGGTGAAAAATGTCCCTTCCCGGAGAAGCTCGGGTCCTTGAGGTGCTTGAGGTGCTTGTGCTTGAGATTCTTAAGTTGTTTCGTTAACTTGGCCACCTTTGTCGTTCAGGCCACCGTGCAAGTTCCGCGTTTTTGCCCTTTGACTGCTTCGCAGATGGAGAGCTTCTCGAGGCGAGGTATAGCGATGTGAGTGATGAGAGTGATGCACATCGAGAGCGACCTTGTCGTTCTTTTGAGCTCCGAGGTATTGGCCGGTGAAGAAATTCGTCCCATCCTTTCAGCCTTTAAAGCTCACCCAGGAGACCAGGGCTGATTGAACCATGTGGAACCTATCCATCGTGTGAATCTTTTTGTGCAAAGTACGGCTGATGGGCGTTTGAGCACTTCATTTTAATTATTATCCTTCCAACCAAATAGCGATGGCCTCCCCCTATATAATAGCGATTGGCCTCCAGCTAACAGTGCCCATGATTGCGTTTAGTTGAGTTCTGTTCTTTGTGTAAGAGTGTTCGGGTAGGAGCCCACGTCGGATTTGAATAGTTCAGACATGCGTGACAAAAACTCTCCGTGAGTATTGAAATGTTCCAGATGACAGTTCCTTTCCAGAAACTTGTGTCAATCACTGATCCCATGATCCCATGTGTAAAGGACGCTGCTGGGGGCTCCTGGCCTTACTAGGAAACAAGAAGCTACAAACGGGGCTCCTGGCATCGAAAACGAACGGAGCGTTCGGACCAATCAGCGGAACGGATTCCGACTTCAGGACCTGAAGGCCCACTTCGGGCATCTCCGGCGCTTGGCCGAGGACGCTGGTGGCGACGCCGGTGGCTGTGCGATGGCAGATGCTAGTGGCCGCTTGTTGGTTGCGTGTGCGGCGTCCAATGGGGTGCTCCAACATCCAGCCATGGTGGCCATTGCCACAGTGGCAGAGGATGCACGCAAAAGGCCTGGTGCATTTGGCAAAATACCAAATTCAGGAGTAACAACTGGAGATCGATGGATATTTGAAGAATTTTGAAGAGATCTGGGAAGTTCACTGTAAGGGCATGTTGCATGCTCGACTAATTTCCATTCCTTGATCAAGTGCAGGTGCCCACTGCCTTGTTTTGCACCTTTGGAGGTATGCGGCACAGGGAAAACGCTCGAGAGAAGAGGAAGATTATCTTTGCCAAGATTGCGATGTGGTGCTTACACATGAGCCGTGCATCATGTGTGCCATGGCTTTGATACACTCGAGGGTGCGAAGGATTGCATTTTGCAATGAGAACACTGACTTCGGTGGTTTTGGAGGCCGAATTGCCCTCGAACAATGTCCGAACCTGAATCATCATCCACGCATCCTTCGCTGGAAAATTACTATCCAATAAATTTGCCTTTTAGAGGATTTACTTATTTATATTAGATATATTTTCTTAAAGTATCTTAAAGTTGTTTAAAATACTCTTAACGAAAATAACATATATAAATATTTCCTAAACAGACACTAGGGGTCCTTACGGTGGTGGTTGAGGCCGAGTGTTTGATCGAGGGGTGCGTCGGGACGTTCGGCCAATTCGTTGTCGAGATGTTCGAAATGCATTTCGATTTAAAGGCTTGCGCCTGACAGCCGGGCGCCGGCCGACATAGGAGAGGGAGGAAGGACATGGGGGGAGTAGGGGGACGGATATCAGAGACGCACACTCTGACATTGGTTTGCTGTTAACTCAGTTCCCAAGTCAAAGAAAGGTGGTGGAACAGAAAGGCGAAGAGTCCAAGCATTTGTAGGTGTTTGAACAAAGTGGTTTCACACTTGACTGCGGAAGCTAGTTACTGCATTAGCCCTTTACTGTAAGAACGGTAAGGTGCAAGGGTCCGAAGTACAGAACTGTTTAACAAACGCACTAGCACTTTACCAAAGCAAAGGAAACCTGTTTTGGGGGATATCATGCGAACAACCACCATGGAAACAACAAAAGGAAAAGTGGAGTCACAGCGTGTGCAAAAGTTTTCATCCGCGCAGATACAGAAGTTTGCGTCCAAACTTCCATCCAGTCGATTTCCCTAGCTTCGTTGGCGTGAGTAGGAAATCGACCGTCACGCCCCCTGCGACTTAAAAGTTGAGAAAAACAGAAACTCTTAGTTACAGAGGTGGACACACACAGAACGCCGATATCGGCGCTCTGGGGGAACTTTCTAATCACCTAAAAAGCCTTAGAGCGAAAGGAAACAAAGACAGAAAGGAAAACGCAAAAGGGAAGAGAGAAAGATAGGTGTAGTGACAAGGCCCACTAGTTACGAAACCTGCTAGTTACTGACTACTTAGCCGCACGGCGGGACATACGTCTTAAGCCGCCCGGGTAGCTAGGAGTAGAAAAGGAGAAACAGAGGGAAAGGTACCGACACACAAGTGTGTCGAGTACCATTTCCTTCTGTTACCCTTGATAGCGGGTGGGAGAGAAACACGAATTAGGTTGCAAGGTGGGGGGTGTGTGGAAGTGCAAGTGTGGACAGACACAAGGAACCGTAACGTGTCCGATCTCAAAGTGGTCGTGGTTGGAAATGTGAGACAGTACATTCTTGAAAGTGAAGCCAAGCAGCAAACATGAACGTGAATCTGATCAAAGAGAGTGGAATTGCCGTGAAGCCCGGCGGCATAAGTTGCAGGGAATACAGTGGTGAAACTAAATCCGTTAAGAGAATCCAAGGTCTGGTGGAGACGGTCGAGGCAGTTACACGAGTTCCGGAATGAAAACGGCGCCTCCTTGCGGAGGATCACACCCAGCACCCAAGTGGGACGACTGAGCGAGTCACACTCTGACATTGGTTTGCTGTTAACTCAGTTCCCAAGTCAAAGAAAGGTGGTGGAACATAAAGGCGAAGAGTCCAAGCATTTGTAGGTGTTTGAACAAAGTGGTTTCACACTTGACTGCGGAAGCTAGTTACTGCATTAGCCCTTTACTGCAAGAACGGTAAGGTGCAAGGGTCCGAAGAACAGAACTGTTTAACAAACGCACTAGCACTTTACCAAAGCTAAGGAAACCTGTTTTGGGGGATATCACGCGAACAACCACCATGGAAACAACAAAAGGAAAAGTGGAGTCATAGCGTGTGCAAAAGTTTTCATCCGTGCAGGTCCAGAAGTTTGCGTCCAAACTTCCATCCAGTCGATTTCCCTAGCTTCGTTGGCGTGACTAGGAAATCGACCGTCACGTCCCCTGCGACTTAAAAGTTGAGAAAAACAGAAACTCTTAGTTACAGAGGTGGACACACTTAGATTGTTGCTCGCAAGAGCTAGGATTAGTACGAAGTTCCCCTTGACTTGAAGAACCGAAGGAAGTGCAAACCGCAAGGTGGTAAAGTCAGTGGACTTGTAGGTGTTGAACACAGTTTGGTAATGCATTAGCGGCTTACTGCAAAACACAGGAATGGACAGCTTGTGCAACAGTTTAACTGATTAAATCACTGCAGGTACAGACCAGGACGTCTCCCGATGCATCGCCAGAGAATGTGGACGTCTTCGTTGGCAGTGATTCCACACACTCTGTCACTGCCCCCTGCCTCTTTTTCTGCGTTGAGAAACTGTAAGTTAGTAGCGATACCAGGAGCCCTTAGTAGCAAAACCAGGGGCCCTAGTAGCGTTCTTTATGACTCAAAACCTTAGGCAGCGTGGACGCACACACGAAGCCGTACTCGGCGCACTGACCCTTGCTTGCAGTCTAGTAGCGTGGCCAGGAGTCGCTAGTAGCGTCCTTACACCCTGTAGAAAGGTCAGAGGTCCTGGTAGTACCGCCTTAGCTCCTGGTAGCGAGGCCAGAAGCCCCCTAGTAGCGTCGTTGGTGTCCGCCGGTTGCAAAACTTTGTACACATAGCGCCAATATTGGCGCTTTTGTGAAGACTACTAGCGACCTAAAAAGCCTTACAAAGACAGAAAAAGCAAACAAAACAAAAGCAGACTAAGAGGGCAAGAAGGAAAGATAGGTGTAGTTACGAGGCCCACTTAGTTAAATGAAAGTAGAACAATAGAGTAGGAGAAACAGAAGGAAAGGCGCCAACACACAAGTGTGTTGAGTGCGATTTCCTTCCGTTTCCCGAATAGCGGGTGGGATAGCAACCGAGGCTCAGGGGCAGGGAGGTAGGGGGCAGGGTGGGTTAGGGTGGCCCGTAGGCCTTGCCATCATTGGCATTCAAGTAAAGCCGATTTGGGCCGGCGCACCCCTTGTTTGAAAGACACCTGGAACCTAAAGAAAGGCCTTAAGAAACGAAAAGCAACAAAAGGAGAGAAAGAACCGAAGAGCGTGAAAAACACATGTAGCAAAAGCACAGCGCTGAAACCCGCCTGTGAATACTTAGGCGCATGTTTCCATGATGGTGCAAATCCAGAGTGTAGATCACAGTAAGCCCTGCGGCATAGTATCAGTGGTATCGAGCAAATCAGCAGGAATCGAACGAAATGCCGAGGTGGAAGCAATCCCCCAGGATCTGGGTCTGTGCACATGCGGCGCCCCTTGACGGGGATCACACCGCAGCCCTCAGTGGGACCCTGTGGCGAAAACACACTTAGATTGTTGCTCGCAAGAGCTAGGATCAGTACGAAGTTCCCCTTGACTTGAAGAACCGAAGGAAGTGCAAACCGCAAGGTGGTAAAGTTAGTGGACTTGTAGGTGTTGAACGCATTAGCGGCTTGCTGCAAAACACAGGAATGGACAGCTTGTGCAACAGTTCAACTGATTAAATCACTGAGGGTGCACACCAGGACGTCTCCTGATGCATTGCCAGAGAATGTGGACGTCTTCGTTGGCAGTGATTCCACAAACTCTATCACTGCCCCTTGCCTCTTTTTCTGCGTTGAGAAGCTGTAAGTTAGTAGCGATACCAGGAGCCCTTAGTAGCAAAACCAGGAGCCCTAGTAGCGTTCTTTATGACTCAAAACCTTAGGCACAGGTGTGGACACACACACACACATATATAGACATATATATATATATATAGGAGGGATTGTTGTTGTTGATGTGGTTCTTGTTGTTGCGGTTGTTTTGGTTGTGGTTTTCGGCTAGGTCGAACCCATCTTTGGGTTATGTGGGGCGGTTTTGGGGCGATGTTGAGCCGATGTTGGTTCATGTTGGGCTATTTAGGGCCTACGTTGGCCCACCTTGGGTCTATGTTCAACTACGACTTATGTTGGGCCATCTTGGGCCTATGTTGAGCCTGTCTTGGGCCTACGTTGGCCCATTTTGGGGTTATGTTGGTCTATCTTGGGGCTTGTTGGGCCTACGATGGAGATATTTTACATTTTTATATATTTATACGCGGTTGTTTCCGTCTCGGATTCCCTTTCCGATATTTTCATCACATATTGTTATTTTTTTAACGTCGCCAAAAATAAATTTGTGCTGTTTATCTCTGATCTTTTGCTTTTTAGTCGTTGCTATTATTTAACGACATATGAATCTTTTGAATTAGCCCGAATCCTATATTTATATATTAATGTCTTATTTTCTTTGGATATATGGTAGTTTTTCTTATAGATTATCCGACCATATATTTTAACCATATTATAAATATATGATTTTGGATGATTATTTTTTTAATTTTTTTAAATCGATTAATTTTAAAAACAATTTAATAATGTAAAAATATAATATTAATTAAATATAATTTATTTTATATTATGGGATGATATAGTTTTTTATTAATTAAATATTTTTGATTTCTTAGATATTATTTTCGAAAGCTAGCGAAGCTAGATGGAGTTATTCTTGCGATAATAAGGTTTCTTTCGATCGGGTGTAAATCCTAATCCCTGATTTTTTAGATCGAAGAAACTCCAAATCCTAATTTTTGATTTTTCAGGTCGAAGAAACTCCCCCCCCTTCCTCTTCTTTTTCTTCTCTTCGTTTCCTCTCTTTACCTCCTTTCTCCCCACCTCCTTCTTTTCCTCCTTGTCTTCTTTCTATCTTCCTTCTTTCCCTCTTCCTTCCTTCTTCCCTCCTCCTTCTTCGTAAGTTCGACTCCGTCTTGTCGTCGCTTTTTGGCATGCGGTTAGCGTTGCGTATTTTGCGGCCGCATTCGTTTATTCTCACTCTCACTATCTCACTGTTTCTCTTATCTCTCTTATCTCTTTTTTATCTCTTTCATCTCTCTTTCTTCTTTCTCTTTCTCTTTCTTTCTCTCTCTCTCTTCTCTGTCTCTCGTCTTTCCGTCTCTCTTTTCTTTCTTCTCTCGCAGGAGGATCCGGGCAAAGAGCCATATATAAAGGACTCTTCACCCCTCCCTCCCAAAAAGAGCGCCGTGTTTTTTCTTACCTCGTTGCCTTCTATTTTCCCATTCTGGAGCGCTAGCTTTCGCCCCCCCCTTGGCCTCAAATATATATATATATTTTTTTAAAATT